GCTGCAATAAACCCTCCCGAACAGGTCTGTAATACATTTGTTCCCAAAAAGCGGTTGTCTTGCCACTTCCTCCCACCGGTCCGGTGAGCTGCTGTCTGCCAGGGGTAGTTGGCGCCATGCCCGCCGGGTTTGGATCCAGAAATCACCCCTGATCAAGTCCCGTCTGGCGGCTTCCCGGCCTGTGTCTGCTTGGGACCTGGATCGGCACGGTATTGTCCAGGAACGGTCCTCCAGCCAGGTGAGGGGGTCGACCTCCGGGGGGGCTGCGGGGCTAGGCGGGCTATCTGCTCGTGAGCCAGGGCTCGCCAAGGGAGACCAGGGGTGAATAGTAAACGTCTAATCCCTTGGATGGCCAGTGCTTTGACCTGAATTACCGGGTCCAAAATCCCAAGGCCCCCTTTATCCTTTGGTTGTGTGACCGCTAGCCAGGCCACCCTATTAATCACGTTCGGAAGATTGCAGTTACCTCTTCAAAGCAATGCGGTGGCCTGCCTTTTAAGTGCTCTGACTGCCTCCTTACTGAAAAGTGTATTTTTACTATTTTACTACTTTCAGGTAGACGTAACTGGCTTCAGCCAAGATAGCAGAAGTCGTTAGGTCAAGCGTCGGTCAGTACAGTCAAGCAGCCAAGTCCAAGGAAAATCCGGGAACTTCCTGAAGTAGCAAACAACGGCAAGGGAATCAACCCATAACCAGCACCAGGAGCCTGGGAGCTGGAACAAGAAGTACTAAAGCCCACCTGGGGAAGCAGTCACTACCTATTCACTGGGGAGTCCATGTGGAAGTGCTGCTGTGCTATTTTGAAATACTCTGGAGTGCTGCTTGGAGATATTGTGACCTGTGCTAACCGTGATTCTGGCTGATAGTATTAGTCCATGGCGCTGGACACCCATAGGAAGTAGCCATAGCCAGATCAAGTTAGAGGAAGCGTGGGAGAGGGATGAGAGAGATCTTCACAGAGGAGGGAGACCTTGGACAAAGAGGGAGAGGGAAGTGAGGACGAAGCTGAGGGAGAGAAGCCATAGTCATACTTTCTTGTACTAAAGTCCATATCTAAATTCCGTACACACGAATATGGAAGGTGAACAAGGTTGGCTCGAGGAAAGTGTGGAGATGTTGTGAAGGTGTAAGTGGTGTGGTTTAGACAAGTTGAGTTATAGTGATGGGGCTAAAAGTCTCAAAGATGGTACACGTTTTGCGGTTCCTGAGAGGACAAGGCAGAACAATGTGGAAGTCGTTTGACTTCTTCTCATGTATACATTGCATCCTCTGTGATCGGGACCATTACCAACTTCAGATACTTGTGCATTGAGCCTCACTGCTTGTCACCTTGAGCACACACTGGAGTCCAGAGATGCAAAGTCCAGATAAGCAGAGCTTAGAGATTCCAACAAATACCATGTTAAGCAGTCTCAGAGTTCCAGTCACCAGTGCTCATCAGCGCAGAGTTCAGCAACCCAACTCAGCATCCCCATCCAAGGTAGGTAACTCTCTTCTCTCTTTGTCCCCCTCTCTCTCTCTCTCTCTCTGTCTGCTCATACATGCACTCACTCTCTCCCTCTACTCTTCCTCCCTCTCTTTCTCTACTTGAGGAGCTTGACTCTGAATACATCCTCTACCACTCAGCTCTATCTCCTACTACTAGCTATGCGGCTATGGCCGCCTTCCCTCTCAGCACAGCACTGCCCAGCGGGGCTCTCGCACATGCCACTCGCAGATAGTGCACAAGCGCTCCAGCAGCACTTCCACACTTCTCATGAATGAGCAATCTGCCTGAAATGTGGCTGGCCAGTCCTTGTATAGACTTGGACTGAGCCTGAACTTGTCCAACCTCTGCTTCCTTTGGTTTGACTTGCTCCCAGTACCACATGCCCGCAGCCTGTTTGCTTCAGAATGTTGAGGCCTGGTACTTTCCCCGGAGTTCCATTGGTGTGCTGCTGCTTGGGTCTGTGAGTCATGACTTTTCGTCTGTGGAACACGACTTTTGACTGTAGGATGTGACTGTTGCTTCTGGGACACGACTTTTGTCTGGAGAAGGTGTCCTTTGCCAGTGGGATATGACCTTTCAATATGAGATGTGACTTTTGCTTATGGAACGAAACTTTTGCCTCTGGGATGTGACCGTTCACCGGGTGCCTGTTGGACTTGACTCCTAAGGTACCCGACTGTGACCCTTCTGAACTGGCCGACTTGGCCTCTTTTGACCTGAGAGACTGAGACCTTGACCCTAAGATTCGAATTTGGGGTCTGCATCGTGGAATGCCTTTAACTCTCGCCGGCCTAATTTCGAGGTCCTCCGAGAAAGTTACAATCTTTATCTGTCAACTATATTGATTCCTCTCCTAGCTCCCTCGTAAAAAGAGAATGGCCACAAACATGAGTACGTTTGTAAGTTCAAAGTTCACCGTCTTTCATGTGTGTGTGTGTGTGTGTGTGTGTGTGTGTTGTTAAAGCAGACCAAATTCTCTCTGTTGTTTCCTCCACAAATCATAACAAACCATCCATAATGAAAAGGTATAGATAGACCATATAATAAAAAATGCAAGGTTGGCCACGTTTGTGTGGTTGAGCGCCCATCTGCAGGTGAAGCGACACATTTGGTTCAGCCTCCTGATGAGTCAGTGAAACTCTGACGAAACAGTTTGTCACAGCCCCTCGTTTGTTGTCCTCTTCTCCGTCTCTGCCTACGGTGTACCAGACAGCTCTGTTTTACGATATATACATATATTTATTGGATCCATAAAAGGGTGGAGGGCAAGAAGCAACTTACCTAAGCCAGAGGACTCCACCAGCAAGAAAGCACCGACCCCATCCACCATAGGTGTGAAAAAGCTTGAAGAGCCGTCCACGTCGGCTCACAAAACCACAAAACAGCATAACACAAAAGGCTCTACTAACAAAAAAGCACCGACCACACCTGCCAATGGTCTAAAAAAAAATTGTAGTGCCCTCTGCGATGGCCTACAACGCCACCACAAATGAAAAATACAGCTCAGAGCCATGAACCTCCCCCTGCCGCACAGCCTGCAGAATCAGATGATGTCCTTGTGCTACAGCGAGGCCACTGCGAGAACTATGCCAAATTCCACACAAAATCTCCTCGCGACACCAGGAGCGCTACTGCTTAAAACACCCTATAATGCACCCCATTCTTCCATGTGCTCCAAATGAGGAGCCCGTGTGTGTGTGTGTGTGTGTGTGTGTGTGTGTGTGTGTAATTTGACACGAAACCCCCAGGTGAACAAATGTGGCGAGCTGTGCAGAAAAAGCACATCAAGCAACATACCAGGAAATAAATCGTCCACTTCGTATGGCATGACCAAAACAACAAACAGAGAGAAGCTGAATGCCCTACTGTTGAAGCCAAACAGACTAGCACATGGGGAGGGGGCAGGGAGCAGCAAACAGGAGATATTGCACACTGAGGAGACGTACAAGGCACATAAACGACAACACAACAACAAAACAGATAGGCTGGAGGGCACGGGGGAGGCGGGCGGGCACAAAAACACGATAGGACAATGCAAAGACAGTGCGCTGAGAAACAAGTAGTACCCACGGAAGACATAGACATAGGCTTGAGGGCAAGGGCGAGGCGAGCAGGGAGACGGACAACACAAGTCGGCAAAAGCATAACAGTAGATAAAAAACAAGAACTGAAAAAAATGAAAAGTGATGATAACAAGATTGTTTCGTCGGAGTTGCACCGACTCGTCAGGAGGCTGAACCCTCGACAATCTGCGGAAGCTCCGTATTTGATGGTTTGGGTCATGAACCCTTTGACCCTTGTTGAAGGCAGACTGTCCCCAAACGGAACATAGCAGCGGGCAGCAACCCTGTGGAGCACCAGGCAACACAGTAGAGGCAACACGGCTTTACAACGCCAAAAACGACTGCAAGGAACGACATGGCACACAGGACATGCAGCACGGCAACCGTGTAGTGAAGCACAAGACAACATAAACAAGGCAACCGCACTGCAAGGGACAACAGGGCGAGCGGACCAGCAGCTCGACATGCAGCGCGACAACCGTGTAGTGAAGCACACAACAACACAAACAAGGGAACCACACTGCAGGGGACAACAGGGTGAGCGGACCAGCAGCTCGACATGCAGCGCGGCAACCATGTGGTGAAGCACAAAACAACACAAACAAGGCAACCACACTGCAAGGGACGACGGGGCGAGCAGACCAGCAGCTTGGCAACCGTGGAGCGAAGCACAAGGCATCAGCAACAAGGCAACCATCCAACAAGGCCCACAAGCAGCAAACACGGAAGGCACGGCCAGCAGAAGGGCAGCAAGGCAGCGGAGCAGCGAAGCGCAAGGCAACACCACACAGCGAACATATCAACCTGCAGAACCACATACGAAGCAAGCGGGACAGGCAGCAGGGCAGCGGCGGAGTGCAGACGAGGCTGTCCACACATCCAACAAGGAGCAAAGCAGCACATGACCTACTCACATCACGATTGAACCCCGCAGACTGTTGGTTCCCACCACCCACTGAGCCCGGGAGACACTCCAACGAGCATCCGTCATCACCCACAGGCAACACAGACATCCCGAACTGAGTAGCCCCCCTAAGAGTGCAGTTGGCACTCCAAACGAGGAACCACGGACTGTTTGGCACTACTTAAGGGTGCTCAGTTGGGCACTCTTAGAGAAAATCAGAGGGAGGACAGGCAACAGGAAAAAGACAGACAGACATAAAACTGATTGTGTGTGTGTGTGTGTGTGTGTGTGTGTGTGTGTGTGTGTGTGTG